AAAAATGATTCTAAATGGAAAACCAGAAATGCAGCAGAAATAAAGATCAATGGAAAGGGTAATATGTGAGTAAATCTAAATAGTGTTGACTTGCTAGGACAGAAATAGTGCATTATGGGTGTTCAGTACACACTGAATTAAAATAAATCAGTGGCATAAAAGTTGAAAGGAGGTAAATTGTTCTCAGATCCTTGCATCATATGGCATTTGATAAAGGTACTAATTTAAAAAGGATAAAAGAATAAAGTGATGCACTTGGTAGCCATTAGATGAATAGTCAAAGGATGTACAGCATGCTAAAAGAAAGAGAAAATAAAGAATAAAAATATAATTAGCTCAATAGAATATGAGAAATTGGAGAAAAGGAAACATACACTATGTAGAACATATTAAAAACAAATAGTACAATTATTATGTAAAATAATTATTATATAACATAACATCAAATATAAATGCACTAAACATTTTAATTAAAAGGTAAAGATTATCAGACTAGATTTTAAAAATCCAACTGTGTGTTGCCTACGGGAAATGCATATTTTAAATATAAAAATTCAAAACATCAGGAATAAAAGCTGGAAAACAATATAGAATAAAGATACTAAAAGAACATGGAGTAGCCATGCTGATATCATACAAATTTGACTTTAAAGCAAGAGCCATTTTTGATATACAGTGCATTTAATAATGGTCAGCCTACTAAGAAGGCTGACAATTAAGGATCTCAGTGGTCAGACCAAGAAGTTAGAAACAGAAAGACAAACTAACTCCAAACCCAAAATAAGTAGTAAGAAAGAGATTATAAGATTAAATATTAATAATATAAAAACAGATATCAAATAGAGGTAGTTAAGAAAGTAAAATACATAATATTGGTAACTTTTCAGTTTCTTTGAAAAGACTAGCAGAATTGATAACTCCCTAGTAAGGCTGATAGAAGGTAAAAAGAGAAAGCATAATCAACATTCAGAATAAGGAGGGCATGTCAGCTACAACGCATATTTCAAGGATCATAACAGGATATAGAAACAATTATATGCCAATCAATTAGAAATTGTTGACATCAACATCTTACCAGAACTGATACATCAAGACAGAAAACCTGAATTGTCTAATATGCATTAAAGAAATTAAATTTATGATTTAAAATCTTCCACAAAGAAAACTGCAGATGACTCATCAGTAAATTTTTCAGACATTTGAGGAAGGCACAATGCAATGCTCTACAGAATCTCCCAGAGAGGAAAAAAGAGGGGACACTTCCCCATGTAATCTATGAGGACTTCATAACCTTAGAATAGTAGACGAAAAGAAATTATAGGACAACCATTAATATAGATGCAAAAATTATAGAGAAAAAATAGCAAATGGAATCCAGCAAAAAGCAGTGAGGTATGCCCTTGACCTTTCTAAGCCTTGCTACTGCCAGGCACTCAGGCTGACTGGCAAGGGCTGAGCCAGTGTGGGCACGGCTGGTGCAAACTTTGCACCATCTTAGATAGTCACGTGCAGCACGGAGATGGGGAAATTCTGTCCTGGGTGGAACAGAGGGCGTAAGTGGAGAGCTGGTCGGAATTATTGAGCCTTAGATCAAGCCGGATGGAGGAAAACAGAGATTCTCTGTGCAGTGCAGTCTTCAATCATTCCCTCAAGCTCTTCCATCAGGCTGTTAGACAAGCAGGCAGGCAAAGAGGGATGCAAGCTGGGAGCTAGAAGGTCTCCGGTGGAGGAGGGTGTGGTGGGGAGGAGGCCAGTGCTGCAGTGGGGGCTGCATTACCCCACACCCAGCAGGTGGCTGACAGCTGGCAGCTGCGGGGAGGCCTGGCTGGGACACAGAGCCCAGAGGTCCGCACTAAGGCTGCCCGAGTCAGGCAAAGAAACAGGCCAGAGGAAGGAAAACTCACCCCAACTCCAGTATCTCCCCTCCCGTTCTCCCTCACCATGGCAGCAGTTGCCCCTAAAACAAGGCTGGCACTGAACCTTCCTCCTCAGGAAGCCACTGTCGCCCGATAGCCTGCACGTGGAGCTGAATATTCTAGTTTCCGGTATCAGTGCTGCTGCCCACCGGCTCTGTGCTCGTGCTCCCGATACCTGATTTGTCTGTGGCACAGTTTTCTCATTTCGAAATCGGAAATAATCAGTATTTTACCTTACATGGTGGTTGTGAGGATTACATTATTAGGGCCTAGAACTGTGCTCAGTAAATGCTAGCGATTATCACAGACTAAAGTCAGGCCTTTTATGAGGGCCACTCTGGTCTCAAGTTGTCTTTCCAACCTCACCAACATCGTTTTATACGTTTCTACCGCCATGTCCGTTCACGCTGTCACCTGCTAGCTGGTAACCTCTCTGAGTCTCTGTTAAATTGGGATAAAAATGTGTATCCCAGAGGGATTAAATTTCAGATGGTCCAGGTGACAAGGCACCTGTCCAGGTAGGAGCTAGGGCTGGGGGCTTCTGCTAAAAGAGACCTCATACCATTGCGAGCAATGAAAATGTTATAGAATTATTTTAACACCTTTTTTTTTTAAAATTTGGAAAATACAGATGGTAATACCCCTACCTCATCATGTTGCATTGAGATTTAAGAGAAGGATTGTGTGATTAAAAAAAACCCCAGTCTTTTAAAATTAATACTCAATAAATGGAGATAAGAGTGTGTACACACACATGTTGCCATTGTCCAGGCCTGAGGACTGTGGACCTGAAGACTTCTTGCTGCCTTAACCCTCTTATGCTTTTCCCCTCATTGGAGGCACAAGGAGCAGCACAGGGAAGGGGTCCAGGCTAGGAACCCCAAGACCAGATTCTCATCCCAGCCTCGTCTCTGGCTGGCTGTCTGCTCTTGGGCAAATCTGTACACTCTCAGCAGGTCTCTGGTCCGCACTCTAACACAGTAACGCTTGGGAGACACACGGTCCACCCAGAGGTGCTCTCTTGAGCAGCTTACAGATGTTCTCGGAGACTTGACTTGCAGTGGGAGCAGTGACTCCACCTTCAGGATAAGCCTCACTGGGGGATAGCTCTTGGATATTTGAACAAAGTTATAATAGGTTTCCACTCTTTACAACCAGGAGTCCTGGGTGGAACATGCAGCCCTGTGTTCTCAGGGTCCAGTCCTTTGCTGGTCTTGGGTTCCCCAGAGTCTGACAGGTAGTGTGCTGGGTAGTTAATTCCAAATACTTGTGTGCCCCTCCCCCGAATTCCCCCAGGGAGGGTCATGCTTCATTCCCTGGCCTCACTGACATTCCCCTACAGGTGTGGCCTCTGTGTGGTATGAATGACATTCTTCCCTCAGTAATGGCCCAGTGCTATCTTGGGGGTGAGGTCTCTCTGAAAATTAGTTTCTGCAGATTCTTATCCAGGACGGGAGAATTGTGGATGTCACCATGACCAAGGGGAAGAGCAGACCGGGGTTTGCTGCAGCGCATTCTAATGGTGAAGGGCCACACTGCTGGAAACCACAGGCACAGACAGGCCTTCACTGTTCGGATGAGCAGCTGAAGGGATCTGAAATGGCTCTCGCCTGGAAAAGAAGCTGGAATAATTAGAAGCGAGGCATCCCAGGGGCCGGCAGATGGTATCTCAGGAACATTGCGACATGGCTTCTTCAAGAGGCAGAGCTACCCTGCGTGGTTGGGGACATTCCTTTTCATCCAGGAACAATGGATGTACCACCAGGGCCTGGAAAATAGTTTTCTCTTTCTTTCTTCTGTGCCATCTTGCCCCCTAGGCACGCTGAAATCATTGTGTAACATTATCGCCTCCTCCAGCCCAAAGGAACCAACTTGGAAATGCATCTGTTACTGGGAAATAATTGATTGGCAAACAGACCTCTATTTTTTGAAGTTCTTCCTCACGGGGCCCATGGCACTCTATTCGCCTGTTTATGTTCTTGACTCCATGGGAACTGTGCCTTTGCCAAGAGTTTGGCATTTGCTACTAATTTACCCAGAATGCGAGCCATCACTGAGCCTTCTGGGGTGTCTCGGAGCAGATGGACTCACCTGGAAAATGTTGGCGAAGTCTCGGAGATTGAAGATATAGTGGAATTTGATTGCCGTGGGTAGGAACGTGGTGGCGACTTTCTGATGGAAGGTAAGGGCCAGGTTGATCAGCTGCGGGGTGGATTTCTGCAGTGATGCCGGGAAGTTTCCAAGCCTCAGGTGCTGAGTCAGGATGGAGCTGTAGATGGAGGACAGGGCGTCCGCTCCCGGGAAGGAGAGGACAAAGACACTGAAGTGACGCTGTGCGAGGAAAGAGGCATGGAGGCGGCTGAGTTAGAAACCTGGCGTCCCAGAATAAAGCCAGCCTTCTGAATTTACTCAAAACAGAATTCATGTAAGGGCTTTGCATTCCATATCGTGGCCACATTTTTCACATTAAACCCAGATTTAGGTTGGACCTAAAATGACTGGGGGGATAATGGGCTTTGGAGCTTGGGTCAAAGACATAAGTATAGGGAGCAGGAGGAGAACTGAGCTGGGGCTGAGTGGGGGAGCAGGAGGAGAAATGAGCTGGGGCTCAGCAGGGAAGTAGGAGGAGAATTGAGCTGCGGCTCAGGAGACCTGAGTTTGATACTGAGCATCCACGTGACCATGGGAGAGCCATTTCATCTCCCTGATGTTTTCTTAGCCTGAAAAATGAGTTAAACTAGATGAACTCTCTGACCCTGTCCAGCTCTAAACAGCTTTAGAACTCTGGGTCCAGGAGTTTCTCTTCTTAGAAAGTCAGTGTCCTGCACAATTTACCACTTTTAAAGGCCTGACAGGGGAAGGGCCAATTCTTACTATGATCAAGTAACATCAACCCTGGTAGTCAGTGTTTAGGGTCCCAGAACCCCAGCTCCTCCCGTACCTGAAGCCGTGGGTTGATGGTGAAGCTGCCTGAAGTAGGATTCATACAGGAAACATACTGCACGTTCGTGATCTCCTTTAGAGACAGCTTGTTCCGATCATACCTGGAAGTCAGAAAACATAGGGGAGGGCTGTGGGAGGGCCCTGGGCAGGCGAGTGCCTTGTCAAGGTGAGATACGATGTGCCCTATCGTTCACGTGTTTGGGTGGTTGGTAGAGACCGAGAAGCGACATGAGCCTCGGACAAAATGCTGACGATCCAGTACTTCCGGAAACAGTGTAGGGAGAAGAGACCACAACGATGCACTAAGGGGAGGAGGAAGATCAGGGTGCGTGGCACCCCAGGAGGCCAAGGCAGTCAGCATTTCTAACGAGGGAAAGTGGCCCGGCACATCCCGAGAGAATAAAAAGATGGATTTCATCATAAAGATACGGTTAGTCGCTGAGTAGGAACGGTTTATTAGAATGGAGGAAACAGAAACTCATAATAATGGCCTGAGGAGTGAGTAGGAGGTGAAGGCGTGAAGACAGAGTAGAGAAATTTGATTAAGTAGGGAGAGAGAGAGAGCGAGCAGTAAATTGAGAACGATTTTTTTTTTAACACAATAGAAATGTATGCATGTTGTTATGAAGGAGACAGGGGACAAGTTGATGACGTGAGGTTTCAGGAGGTGGGAAAAGTAGAATCAAGATGCTGGTGGGCGGCTATGCCCCAGGGAAGATGTGACAGGAGGCGGGAGAAAGGCTGCAGGGATGCATGTAAGTTGTCTAGATGTGTAAGCAAGAGGCAGATGGCGTGTGAGCATCAGCGGGGGTGGGCGGGAAGCTTGAGGAGAGGGGAAAGGGATGAAATGGACATTTCTGAGCGGAAATGTAAGCATATGGAGGCAGTAAGGGTTTCCAGGAAGTTTCTACTTCCGTTTAAGACCTGTGACCTTGAATCCAGAGTAAAACTCATAAGCCTGACTAGTGCTCTCCAGGGTGGCTCCGCTGCGCAGATGCCGGCGTGGCGGCTGTGGGAGGCTGTCTGTGGCAGGCATCCAGCAGAGACAGGAGTGAATGAAAGCCAACTCAGGTTACCATCACACTATCGTTCTCTCTGGGTTCCCTCTTCACACTGCCCACTCGTTCCCAGCAGCCGATTCATGTGTGAGGCAGGAAGATGAGCCAAAAATGGTCAAATGACTGACTTGTGGGTTTTTTCCCTGCCAAGTTCAGCCCTTTTGCCATTAAAAACTATGCTGTTTCAGGAGGCAGCGTGGGCCCTGAGTTGCTCTGAGGAGACAAAGGCTGCTGAGACCTGCAGACGCTCTGCCCTGGGCAGTGTGTTAGGTGTGACCATTGTGCCTGCTCAAGGCTATGGGGCCGAGATGAGGGGGGGGGAGCAGTCAGTTCTGCTTTGGGGGTTTGGAAAAGGCAACATTTGAGAAGAAAATTGAAGATAAAAGTAGGCTTTTCTCCTGAGATGAGGGCTCCGTACCTTCTCCTCACGTGGGTTGTGATGCCCTGTCTGAAAGCCCACTCGGGAAGCAGAACCTGTGAGGCAGGGAGTTGGCCACAGGGATTCTCCTCTGGCTGCAGAGCTAAACGGAGGGGTGCAGCTCCGGGGGAGGCGGCTGGCTCGGCCCTGCCCTGGTTCCTTCCTCCCAGCCCGGGCCCCCGGGGCGCTCCTACCAGTGGCCGTAGTCCAGGTGCTGCCTGATGAGGGTGTGGGGCTGCACCGTCCCGTAGGCATCCACCTCCGGCATGTTCATGTCGTCGATGAAGTAGATCAGCTTCTTGTGCCCCGGGGGGCCATAGTTTCTCCCTGCCTTCTTTTCCAGAGGCTTCTCCAGGGCAGCTGACGGGAGAGACAGGTAGAGAGGGAAGGGCGTTCAAACCTTAGATGGCAGTATGGGTGCCAAGTGCGAGCCGCGGTGCAGTGTGGGTGTATGTGGAAATGAGAGCAGTAGTTCCACCAGCGGCAGGGGTCCCACGGGACCAGAAGGTGACCTGGGAATGACCTGGCAGTCCTGGGGACAGCATCCACCAGGCACTGAGCCTCTTCCTATGTGCGGGGTGTTAGGTCTTTAAAAACATTAATGATCTCATTTCGACCTTCCTCAGGTCACTGTAAGGTTAGTGCTATTATCCCATTTTAGAGAGGAGGAAACTGAGGCTCAGAAGGACAACTCCTCTAAGGTGGAGCCAGTACACAGACCCAGAGCAGTGAAACAACGAAGCCCGTGCTCTTTCTGTCATCTCTGTGGGCCCAGTTTTCATTGGGAAGAGACCAGAAACAGGAAACGCCTCGGCAGTCCCAGGGCCCAGTACTCCAGCCTGGAGGAAGCCTGCACGGACCGGACCCTGGGGACACTGGCCCTCCTTGTCTAGAAGAGCAGGGGAGCATGATGGCTGTGGCTTCCATCCCGCGGCCGGGTGGAGGCCCCTTCCACTCATGGGCTTCAAGAGAGGACAACACTGCTGTCACAGATCTCAGCTGGGCTTTTCTCTGAGGGGGAACAGAAACACTGGCCTCAGAGAATTTCCCAGAAGCCTCCAGGATCATGAAGCCCCCCGCCCAGCACCTTCAGGTCGCCAGGCCCTCTACCAGAGCATCTCGTGTCTTCCTGGAGACCCCGCACAGATGGTGCAGGAGCTGTGTCTCCAATTATCCAGCCAGAGTGAAGGAATCAAACAGCATGGCTCCCAGCCTGACAGGGCTTGTTTAGAACAAACTTAAGAAACAGGGTGAAGGTATATGTGTTTTTTTCAATCAGGCAATTAAATATTTATGTATTGCCAGAACCAACACTTCCTGGAAGCTCTAAGAACCATCTGATTCTCTCTCTCAAAAAACAAGTTTATAAACAAGGAGAAAGTGTCACTAGACATAGGAAGGTGACAGATAGAAAGACAAGTTCCTTCAAGAAGCTGGAATATCGAATTCTCTGGTCCTGGGTTAAATTCAGTGCTTAAAATATGAAATAATTGTAAATTCAACTAGCATCCCATTAACATACACTATCAACCAATTAATCATCCAACACCTTTTTCCCCCTAAAGATATAACTATATACGAGATCTGTCAAAATGAAATATAATTAATGGGCTGCCAAGGACATGTTTTTGAGAACAGTCCTTCCTGTGGGAAATGCTCTCCTTAGGAAGGCTTGTTTCTCCTCCTTCCAAAGCAGCGATTCTCCAATCCACCCCTGACATTAAGCAGACCCTGTGATTTGGGCTGATTGAGCTCTCGGTGCTTCTAAAGGATTGTGGAGGAGAAAAGCATGCCAGTTAGCAAGACATGGCCTTTGATGCACTGAGTTATCTCACGGGACAGGTAAGCACCCCAGGAAAGAGGGGCCTCCCTGGGGAAGGGCACACACTTTTGATCCCTTCTTGGCCAAGTTCTGCTTCAAGTGCCTTCTAGGCGAGATGGCAGCAGGCTTTTGTTTCCAGCCGGACCTGGAGGAGCACAATGGGTTCCAGTGTCAGCCAGCATGCTGATGTTGAAGAAGCTAAACACGGGAGACATCTACCGAAATGCGGCCCGGGGTCTGCATTGCGGTGAACAAGTCCTGCGAGCCGCGCCCATGCCCAGGAGGGCTCACCTGTGCATCTTAGTCATTTCTCCACATGGAACTCCAGACGTCCAGCTAGAACGCTATCTAGCAGGTGCACCTGCGACCCTCCGTTTTTATCCGTGTTCCTCCAGCACTGTTCCACCACCATGGTACATTTGAAGAGCAATTTCATAATCAAAGTGAAATTGTTTTCTCACGTCAGAATTAAGAAATAAATGAATGCACATGTTATATGTTCACTGTCCTAGAAGATGTATCAGTAAACATATTGCTATGAGATGAAAGAGCCAAGGCCATGACCCCCATTCTGTAACTAAGGTAACAGAGGCTAAGGCAGGTAAAGTGCTTTGCTGGAATGAGAATCCAGGTCTGTGGATACTGACTTGATCGCTTCTTTCACATCACCCGGAGAAAGTCCTTGTGAGTCCTAACATCTCAAACCTTGGCCAGGGATGGCCCTGACTGGCCAGTCCCACCGACCCCTCCAGTCTCTGAACAGTAGAGCTGGACACTCGTCCATGGAGCGCTACTAAGAACCTGACCTATATACACGTCCTGACCATTCCCCTACCGAGGATTTGATGTACATTATCCCATCGACGCCCACTGTAAGAGCAGCCCTATAAAGTATTCTCACCAGCTTTTAAAAAAATATAACTTTTTTTAAAGAGAGGAGAGGGACAGGGAGAGAGAGATAGGGACATCAATGATGAGAGAGAATCATTGAACAGCTGCCTCCTGCACATCCTACACTGGGGATTGCCCACAACCTGGGCATGTGCCCTGACCGGGAATCGATCCATGACCTCCTAGTTCATAGGTCGACACTCAACCACTGAACCACACCGGCTGGGCTTGTCATCAGCTTTTTAAAAATCTTTTAACAAATGAGAAAACTGAGGTTTAGAGAAACTAAGGGACTTTATCCAGGGCCATACAGCTAGTGAGGGCAAAGCCAGGGTTCTAACCTGGATTACCTCATGTAACCACTACCATAAACTACTTCTTAAACGTTACTGCAACATGGCTCTGCCCTTGAGAAATCCCCAGGTAACTCATTGCCTGACTGTGATTTGACAGAGCATTAGTAATTAATCATGTCTTACTTTGCATTGACATGATTTGTGTACCTGTGTTTGAACTATTTCCTTCCACATTATCTAATTTTTTCACATTAAGATGCTTTAGTTATATTGCAAGGGCTTAAGTTGTGTTTATTCTTTCAAAAAAATAACATACTTTGCATGATTATAAAAATACAAACCATAGAAACTCATGATGAAGAAAATGAAAATTACCCATAGTTCTTTACGTACCATTAAGCATTACTTTCAATATTTCAGTGTATCTCATCCTAGTCTATTTGCTCTGTTAGATTTTTTTCCCTTATCAAATCAGAATTCTACTGCAGATTCTGCTTGTATTTTTTAAAAATATATTTTTATTGATTTCAGAGAGGAAGGGAGAGGGAGAGATAGAAACATCAATGACAAGAAAGAATCATTGACCGGCTGCTTCCTGCACACCCATTGGGGATCAAGCCCACAACCCAGGCATGTGCCCTGACCAGGAACTGAACCATGACCTCCTAGTTCATAGGTCGACACTCAACCACTGAGCCATGCTGGCTGGGCTCTGCTTGTATTTCTCTCTCTCTCTCTCTCTCTCTCAATCTTCACCCGAGGTTATTTTTCCAATTATCTTTTACAGAGGATGGAAGAGAGAGGGAAAGATTGAGAGAAACATTGATGTGAGAGAAACACATTGATTTGTTGCCTCCTGCACAAGTCATGACCAGGGCCCAAGGGGAGCCTGAAACCAGGGTTTGTGGCCTTGACCGGAATCAAGCCCAGGACCCTGTAGTCTGAAGGCTGATGCTCTATCCACTGAGCAAAACTGGCGAGGGCTCTGCTTGTATTTTTGATTTCGTATATTGCAGACATCTTTATATGATAATATATAACCTCCAACAACTTGGTTTTTTAAAATTAATCCAAGCAGGCTTTTATTGTTTAATAATAAAAAGTTTGTTGTATAGAGAAACTACATATTTAACAGAAAAATTGTTAAAGAAGTTAAAGGCACATCGAAGGATTTTTTTTTTAACCAATTTAAAGGGATTGTTTTACATATCAGTAAAACAAAATTCAAGAAAATTATTTTGAAGTTTATATTTTATCACATTGCAGAGCAATGTTAAAATATGGGGTTATATTTCAGTACTAGGAGTCAGCATTTAAATAAATCACTGGTCTAGCCATCACTATGTCATAAAGGCAACAACAAAAAAACCACTCACCCTGAAAGTCTATACTAATTTAAAATACTATCCAAGTTCCATTAAAAAGCCATAAATATATAGCACAAGTTAATTACAAAAGGCATTTCATGTACTCTTAAGAGCACATATAGTAGTAAAATGTAATAGGAGACCTAAAACTAAAGTACTTACTATATTTAACATTAAGTAATCTTGTCATCTTAGAATTTAGGGTGTTGCTAGGGAAACAGATGGCACAAGACTCTTTAAACAGTCATCCAGATATTTAAGTTTTTTAAAAATATATTTTATTGATTTTTCACAGAGAGGAAGGGAGAGAGATAGAGAGTTAGAAACATCGATGAGAGAGAAACATCGATCAGCTGCCTCCTGCACATCTCCCACTGAGGATGTGCCCGCAACCCAGGTACATGCCCTTGACCGGAATCGAATCTGGGACCTTTCAGTCGGCAGGCCGACGCTCTATCCACTGAGCCAAACCGGTTTCGGCTTAAGAACTTTTTTTGATATCTTTTCCTAAAACAAGCAGAGGCCTTCAGCCACCTCACTAAACCTAGAGGCATATCATCACACCATTTTTTAAAAAATATATTTTATTGATTTTTTGCAGAGAGGAAGGGAGAGGGATAGAGAGTTAGAAACATCGATGAGAAAGAAACATCGATCAGCTGCCTCCTGCACACTCCCCACTGGGGATGTGCCCACAACCAAGGTACATGCCCTTGACCATAATCGAACCTGGGACCGTTCAGTCCGCAGGCCGACGCTCTATCCACTGAGCCAAACCGGTTTTGGCTCGTCACACCATTTTAAAAAGACTTGACGTGACATATGCACGTCCACTTTGTTGTCTCTTCCGTCGTTGATTTACTGAAAGCTAACACTGCGAGGGCTGCGCCAGGCAGAAGGCCCCGAAGCTGGCGGACCTCGCTGGGCCAGGGCCATTTCCCTCGCGAGCAAACCAGAGAGGAGCTACAGGGTCTAAACAAAGCG